AACCAAATTATTTAAAAAAAGCAAAAAGATAACTATTTTTTTTTTTTTTTTTTTTTTTTTTTAAGGTATTTGACATAGCAAAGCTATTTGACATATTGGAAAGAATCAACCCCCAAAAAATACCTGACCACTGTGACTGACACCAAATTAAGAAAGACCTTGACTATGTACAGACTGAGCATAGCCTTGCTATTGAGAGAGGCCGCCATATGCAGACCTGGCTCTTGAGAGAAGACAGGCTATGTGCACACTGCCCACAAAATGAGGTGGAAACTGAGCTGCACTTCCTAACATCCTGCTAAATGTATGAACACAATAGAGACACTTATTTCCCACAGATCATACAGACCCACAAATAATTTGAAAACAAATCAAACATTGATAAACTCCCATATCTGTTAGGCAAAATACCGCAGTGTGCAATCACAGCAGCAGGATTTGTGGCCCGTTGCCATGAGAAAAGGGCAACCAGTGGAGTACAAACAACATTGTAAATACAACCTATATTTATCTGTTTATTTATTTTCCCCTTCATACTTCAACTACTTGCACATTGTTACAACACTGTTTATATACATAATATGACATTTGAAATGTTTTATTCTTTTGGAACTTCTGAGTGTAATGTTTACTGTAAATTTTTATTGTTTATTTCACATTTGTTTACTATCTACTTCACTTGCTTTGGCAATGTTAACATATATTTCCCATGCCAATAAAGCCCTTAAATTGAATTGAAATTGAATTGAGACAGAGTGTGAGAGAGAGCGAGAGAGAGAGAGAGAGAGAGAGAGAGAGAGAGAGCGAGAGAGAGAGCAAGCGAGAGATCGAGAGAGAGCGCGAGAGACAGCGAGCGAGAGCGCGAGAGAGAGAGACAGAGAGACAGAGGGAGAGACAGAGAGACAGAGAGAGAGAGAGAGAGAGAAGTATGTACTGTATGATGAGTCCAAGTTGGTTGGTGTAACAGTGAGCTGTTGAGTAGCTAGAGCTGTTAAAGAGTATAAGTCATTATGATCAGGGCTGTCTGTGCTGGAGAAGCATGTCTGACACACTGCTTGGTGCAATCATGTGAACGATCCAATGTGGGTGGCGAGATATTATATACTTTGTATAGCTGGTGTCTCCTGTGGTGAAGTTCTGTCAAACTGGTTGGAATGCTACAGTCCTGGATTTGAATGGGTTTACAGTCGATTGAACAATGTCCAATGTACAATGTACAATGTTCTTCTTTAGGTCTATAAACTAGTCCACAATTGATGAAAACAGACAGATAATAGCACATTAAACACAATTTCAGGTGAAAAATATATTTAATCTCAAAGCAATGAAATGGGAAAATAGACGGCAATAAAGGAAAGAGAAAATAAGGATGTAGAAAGAAAGGAGAGAAACCCAGCATCCTACAGCGTTGTCATCAGGGGTAAGTAAAGGAGAGATGAAAGAGAAAGAGAGAGAGAGAAACCCAGCATCCCTACAGCGTTGTCATCAGGGGTAAGTAAAGGAGAGATGAGAGAGAAAGAGAGAGAGAGAAACCCAGCATCCCTACAGCGTTGTCATCAGGGGAAAGTAAAGGAGAGATGAGAGAGAAAGAGAGAGAGAGAAACCCAGCATCCTACAGCGTTGTCATCAGGGGTAAGTAAAGGAGAGATGAGAGAGAAAGAGAGAGAGAGAAACCCAGCATCCCTACAGCGTTGTCATCAGGGGAAAGTAAAGGAGAGATGAGAGAGAAAGAGAGAGAGAGAAACCCAGCATCCCTACAGCGTTGTCATCAGGGGTAAGTAAAGGAGAGATGAGAGAGAAAGAGAGAGAGAGAAACCCAGCATCCTACAGCGTTGTCATCAGGGGTAAGTAAAGGAGAGATGAGAGAGAAAGAGAGAGAGAGAAACCCAGCATCCCTACAGCGTTGTCATCAGGGGTAAGTAAAGGAGAGATGAGAGAGAAAGAGAGAGAGAGAAACCCAGCATCCTACAGCGTTGTCATCAGGGGTAAGTAAAGGAGAGATGAGAGAGAAAGAGAGAGAGAGAAACCCAGCATCCTACAGCGTTGTCATCAGGGGTAAGTAAAGGAGAGATTAGAGAGAAAGAGAGAGAGAGAAACCCAGCATCCTACAGCGTTGTCATCAGGGGTAAGTCAAGGAGAGATGAGAGAGAAAGAGAGAGAGAGAAACCCAGCATCCTACAGCGTTGTCATCAGGGGTAAGTAAAGGAGAGATGAGAGAGAAAGAGAGAGAGAGAAACCCAGCATCCTACAGCGTTGTCATCAGGGGTAAGTAAAGGAGAGATGAGAGAGAAAGAGAGAGAGAGACACCCAGCATCCCTACAGCGTTGTCATCAGGAGTAAGTAAAGGAGAGATGAGAGAGAAAGAGAGAGAGAGAAACCCAGCATCCTACAGCGTTGTCATCAGGGGTAAGTAAAGGAGAGATGAGAGAGAAAGAGAGAGAGAGAAACCCAGCATCCTACAGCATTGTCATCAGGGGTAAGTAAAGGAGAGATGAGAGAGAAAGAGAGAGAGAGAAACCCAGCATCCTACAGCGTTGTCATCAGGGGTAAGTAAAGGAGAGATGAGAGAGAAAGAGAGAGAGGAGAGAAACCCAGCATCCTACAGCGTTGTCATCAGGGGTAAGTAAAGGAGAGATGAGAGAGAAAGAGAGAGAGAGAAACCCAGTATCCTACAGCGTTGTCATCAGGGGTAAGTAAAGGAGAGATGAGAGAGAAAGAGAGAGAGAGAAACCCAGCATCCCTACAGCGTTGTCATCAGAGGGGTAAGTAAAGGAGAGATGAGAGAGAAAGAGAGAGAGAGAAACCCAGCATCCCTACAGCATTGTCATCAGGGGTAAGTAAAGGAGAGATGAGAGAGAAAGAGAGAGAGAGAAACCCAGCATCCTACAGCGTTGTCATCAGGGGTAAGTAAAGGAGAGATGAGAGAGAAAGAGAGAGAGAGAAACCCAGCATCCTACAGCGTTGTCATCAGGGGTAAGTAAAGGAGAGATGAGAGAGAAAGAGAGAGAGAGAAACCCAGCATCCTACAGCATTGTCATCAGGGGTAAGTAAAGGAGAGATGAGAGAGAAAGAGAGAGAGAGAAACCCAGCATCCTACAGCGTTGTCATCAGGGGTAAGTAAAGGAGAGATGAGAGAGAAAGAGAGAGAGAGAGAAACCCAGCATCCTACAGCGTTGTCATCAGGGGTAAGTAAAGGAGAGATGAGAGAGAAAGAGAGAGAGAGAAACCCAGTATCCTACAGCGTTGTCATCAGGGGTAAGTAAAGGAGAGATGAGAGAGAAAGAGAGAGAGAGAAACCCAGCATCCCTACAGCGTTGTCATCAGAGGGGTAAGTAAAGGAGAGATGAGAGAGAAAGAGAGAGAGAGAAACCCAGCATCCCTACAGCATTGTCATCAGGGGTAAGTAAAGGAGAGATGAGAGAGAAAGAGAGAGAGAGAAACCCAGCATCCTACAGCGTTGTCATCAGGGGTAAGTAAAGGAGAGATGAGAGAGAAAGAGAGAGAGAGAAACCCAGCATCCTACAGCGTTGTCATCAGGGGTAAGTAAAGGAGAGATGAGAGAGAAAGAGAGAGAGAGAAACCCAGCATCCCTACAGCGTTGGCATCAGGGGTAAGTGAGGCAGTGATATTATGTTTTTATGGTGTAATGATGTCATGTCATAGTATCGTGGGGAACAGGTTAGAGTTACTAGATAAGTGGTTAGGAGACAGAAAGTCTACATTCCATTATGTCAAAGGAGTTTCTGATGTTTAGGGTAGTATGAGTGATGGACAGGATATAATGTCCTGGGGCAAAGGGTAATAACAACAGAGAAATGGAGTGCTATGATGGTTGCCAGATGTATGTGAAAGGGAGTATAACCAAGAGTATAAAGGAGGTTAGATTTGTATGTGTGGGCAGTTCAACTGACGAAGGGCAAAGCAATGTCTGTTTGTTAGATGGACCCACGAGCTCGTGATCCAATAAATACTTGGTATAAAATCTCCACAGAATATCTAAGTAAATTATTGCATCTTCAACTTCACAATACCAAAAACTCATCATAACAGGCAGTCTATCGCTCAGCCCTCCAGGCAATGTCCCCACCACAATGAACTTGAAGTAACGTAGAAGTTTGTTTTCCAACAACGCGCACACACACAGTCACAGAGACACACAGACACAGAGACACAGACACACACAGAGACACACACACACACACACACACACACACACACACACACACACACACACACACACACACACAGAGAGAGACAAACACACAGAGAGACAGACAGACAGACACACACACAGACAGACAGAGACAGACATATACACACAGAGAGACGGACACAGAGACACACAGACACAGAGACACACAGACACAGAGACACACACAGAGACACACACACACACAGAGACACACACACACACAGAGACACACACACACACAGAGACAGACAGACAGACAGACAGACAGACAGACAGACAGACAGACAGACAGACACACAGACACACAGACAGAGACAGACATATACACACAGAGAGACAGACACAGAGACACACAGTCACAGAGACACAGACACAGATACACACAGACACACAGAGACACACACAGACAAAAAGAGACACACACACACACACACACAGAGAGAGACACAGAGACACACAGAGACACACACACACACACAGAGACACACACACACAGAGAGAGAGACACACACACACAGAGAGAGAGACACACACACACAGAGAGAGACACACACACACACAGACTCACCTTTCTGTAATGGTCTCCCTCAGTCCGCTAGTCACTCCTTTCATGACGGTGCTGGCCTTAGGTGTAAGGACCACTTGGGAGACGAAGAATGTTCCCTTCCTCCTGCAATCATACAAATCACATCAAACCTTACTATACAGTCACAATTAAAGACGCAATAAGTGCTTTTCCCTGTTTTCAAGTCAACACACTGTCCAGGACAAGACAGGGTGAAAGATCAAGGGACAGACAGACAGACCTGCGGTCAGCCACAGAGGCCTGGAGGAACTGGATCAGCTTGTCGGGGTCAGTGGTGTTGGCCCAGGGAGCAGGCATCATCTGACCCGGCCACAGGAAGGGCACCTCCAGGGCCATAGGACTGTGATAGAACACCAGTACCTGGTATTCATTCTCCCACAGATACTGGAGACTCACCTAGAGGAAGGGAGGAGGGGAGAGAGGGAGATAAACCTTTGTCATTAGGAAACTTCCAGAGCCATAGCGGGAGCAAATTCTCTCTGCAGAGTGGTCAATAGCTGGCACAGCCACAAAGTCATAACCCTAAACTTAACCACATTGCTAAGCATAATGACTAACTTTAACCGTAACTTAAGACCAAAAAGCGAATTTTTGTTTTCAGAAATGTTTACAATATAGCCAATTTTGACTTTGCAGCTGGCCTATTAAAGGGGAATTCACTCAGTTCTGCCTCCAGGACAAGACTCATGACAATAAACATCAACCTGCATAGTGGACACTCTTGAGGGAGCACAGAGATTGAAAGTCTTAGTTTGTACAGAAGAGCATCTTACTTCCTGAGCGAAGACGACAGGGCAGAGTTTCTCCCCGAACACGTCCCTCAGCATTGAGACCAGTTTCTCATGGTGCAGGTTCTGAACTCCGTAGAAATGGTTAAAGTCCAGGAACACCACCTCTCTGGCATGGGCCGACAGGAAGGAGCTGATCTGCTCCAGGCCTTCTCTCACCTGGAAGGACAACACAACACACACCCCACAGGAGAGCAGAGATAGTGTCAGACCAGTCATACTGTACCCACTGAACATGGTCCAGAGTTGTTCCTGACCTGTAGCTATAGACAATAGCTTTTTTCTGGTCAGGTGGTCAGGAATGTCTGGTAAAACAAAGTTGTATAGTGATTAATTATATTCACCGTGGCGCTGAAGAGACCGTGAGCGAAGAAGAGTTCGTTGTCTGGGTCCCGGGGCTTGGTGGAGATGCGCAGGTCAAAGAAGCGGACGCCGGCCTCCAGCTGGCTGGAGAAGTTCATGGTCTGAGTGGCGAGCCATTTGCGCATCAGCTTCTTGGCCACCGTGCCGAAGACGGACACAAAGTTCTGGACGGCGTCAGTCTGCTCAGGACCAACCGGAGAGGACTCATCTATGTAGAAACTGAACGAGTCATGTGAACCTGGGGGGAATATATAGGCTATAGGTTATAGTGGAGCGGAGGATAACGTGGGTGTGTGTGTGTGTGTGTGTGTGTGTGTTTAGGGACAGTGGTGTGCAGAACAATAGCTCTGTGACAATAGAACAATGCCAGTTGGTTGAGAGTGAGTGATGTCCTCTCCCCCTGTCCCTCTCTCCCCCCTGTCCCCCTCTCCCCCTGTCCCCCTGTCTAAACAGAAAAGTAATCTAACCAGAGAACAGTGGTTCTCTCAAAGTGTAACAGCCCGAGACACTTTGCTCCCCTCTCTCCTCTCTCTCTCCCCTCTCTCCCCTCTCCTCTCCTCTCACTCTCAACAATACATCCACAGCCAGCCAACCCACTCACACAGCCCAGTGTGTGACCTTTTCCCCTGAAAAATAAATAGATAAATAGGGAAACTCACAGGGTCAGGCTACGTTACAGTTAGCCCTATACAAAGCCCTTGGCAACAGAGACAGTTATCCAAGAGGAAGGCTGGCTACCCTTGGCCCAAAGAGTGAACCTTCTCCAGTCACAGCAACCACACAATAACCCCAGACACACACACATCCAGCCATGCACACAGAATGGAAAGTGACCTTAACCCAACAGCACAGAGAAAACCTCACAGGCGACCACAAAAGTAACAGCGCATTGAGAGCCATGTCACAACTTATGTTGTGAGCAGAAGCATCATTCAACCAAACAGGACAGAGACGTCTGTGGCTGAATTTACAGCAGAGAAAATGACACCACCATGTCTTTCAACAGTCACAACCAGACCACTGACAACGACAATGCAGGCCGTACAACGACCTCAACGTCACAGTCGAGACAGTGACTGTAACCAGAGCAGACAACTCTTGGGGTCAACCAACCACAGTACAGAGTTGTCCACACGGTCTCATAGCCCAGAGAGTGATCTTCAGCAATCACAACAGAGATGACTGCAGACTCAACCGCACTACAGGGCTGACCATACCACAGGGCTGACCACACAACAGGGTTGACCACACAACAGGCTTGACTACACTACAGGGCTGACCCCTACTATACTTCTTCCATACGGTCACAAAGCCCAACGAGTTACCTCAACCACAACATAGACGGTCACTGTAGCTCGAACATCAGTGTCACTCAGCCGGCTGACCCTTAGAAAGTCACTAGAGAGATTACAACAATCAACCTCTCCACAGGCACTGAACACAGAGAGAGAGACCTTCATCCTACACACAGACAGACAAACAGACACTCGCTTGACTGCACGGTCCCTACATCAACCATACAGTCAGCATCCTTCTAAGTTCCTGTTCCCATTAAGCAATGTTCTGCCCAGGCTTGTCTGCTCCTACACAAGAACGTGGACTTAATAGATATCTCACTATGCCTTGTGGGTGTAACAGAGCAAAGCTTCCTGTTATGCTTCTGAACAAATACGTTGTAACCTTCATATAAATGTTCTGGCAATATTGCTCTGTTGCTCCAGTAGATAAATTATTCGGTTCAATAGAGTCAGCTCAGCTCCATGCCTTGAGGCATGAAGGATCCCTAGTGTTTCTGTCAAATACACCTATAGCCTTTAAAAAAAGATGATCTAGCAAGATTCCTTTGGGCTTATCAAAGGTGTTTTATGCAGTGAGTCAGAGTTCACTGATGATGTGTGTAGCTGAAAAGGTGTGCAACACAAAATGGTAGCTACACATCTCATATATATATATATATATATATATATATATATATATATATATATATATATATATATATATATGCCATCGTCTCTCATAATATATCATATATTATAGCTCCTCCCTCAACCTGGATTTGTTCCTGAAATGATTGGTCAAACCTCCGAAATGAAATGTCAGCTATACCTTGTATGACCAATAATTTCAGGAACAAATCCAGGTTGAGGGAGGAGCTATAATATATGATATATTATGAGAGACGATGGCTTAGCAACACACTGGAAATTACAGCGGCGCTTATCTCTCGACTCTCGCTATTCTGTGATGATAACGAGAGAAAAACCAATCCATCAAAATATATCAATTAAATCAGCATAAGGCTGTGGAAATAAAATGTGTAATGACCAACATGCTTTTCATTAAGCTTAGAAGGTCAGACTAGCTGTGTGTCAAATTAGTATTCAATTAACAACAATCAAAAAAGTGTCACAGAGACCATTGAGCACTGTTGGAGATGTGTTCTAAGTAACACCGCTGTTCATCTCGTAAAAGGGATTCCCTGCCTCTCTCCCCCTGTTCACCACTCCTGTAAGCTGATGGTAAAAATGGTTAGGTGGGATATCAACACTAGCCTCACCAGTAAAGCAGAAGACTGAGGTCATCACGTCCTGTGTATGGCTTCTGGTTGTGCCTGGTTTCTCTAGTTCATGTGTAGCACCAAATAATGTTGAGACATAACCAACAGCTTACAGGAAGCACTTAACATGTGATTAGCATAACCTTGGAGAAGACAATGCATTACTTGGGCTAATTCCTCTGTTTGTGAATTACAGGACTGGAGGGATGCATTAGGGATGAGGCAATTACAGAAACTAACTAACAAATCCCTCGCTCTCTGCACTTTATAGTGGCTTAATGAAGGAGATGAGTAACAGAGATGTTCTTGTTGCATGTCTTTTCCCTGGAAAGGGGCAAATCTACTAGATATTTGCTACAAGTTGAAAGTCAGTAGGTCTACCTGTTTTAAACAGAGGGAACAATGTCAAATAAAGTGTCATTGAAGACTTACATGTTATGTTTTATGTTATGGTTTATGTTTGGTCCCGTGTAGCTCAGTTGGTAGAGCATAGCACTTGCAACACCAGGGTTGTGGGTTTGATTCCCACGGGGGACCAGTACGAAAACATATCTTAAGATGTATGCACACTGTATCGCTCTGGATAAGAGCGTCTGCTAAATGACTAAAATGTAATCTTTATGTTTTCTCTGAAGGGTAATATGATATACTGGGTATGAGATACTGGGTACGATACACTCAAATGTGCCGATGTGATTCCACACCTGCTTACAAAAACCACAGGAAGTAAAAGACCATTAGAAGCTGGAGTGTGAGGAGAGCTGGAGGAATGAACAGAGGACAGGATTATGTGAGTGCTCTCTCTATTTCACTCTGTCAGACATAGAGAATATGGTGTGATGAGCAGAGACAGCACCATGCAGAGAGGGTGCAGCAGTTGCTACAAATCTGTTTCATTAACGCTCACTACCACACTAACTCCTAACACCCTTTAGGGCACAGGAGAGGAGCCGGCTTCCCCTCACTTTCTCTACTCATCTCTTCATTCCCTTCATCTCCCATCCCTTTTCCTCTGCTTCTGTCTTCTCTCTCTGTCCATCCATTTTCCTCTGCTTCTGTCTTCTCGCTCTGTCCATCTCTTAATTTCTCTCCTTCTCCTCCCTCCCTCGCTGTCAGTCAGTCTCTCTCCCAACCACCTCTTTTACTCTCTTTCGACAGTGGTCCCTCATCACCCTCCCCATTCTGTCCTCCCATCCATTCCCTCTATCAAATCATCTCTCTCCTCCTATGGTGTTATTCTGTCTGGTATGAGAGTCATTGAGGACACAGTGTGCAGCTACAGATTGGTGAGACCAAATTATTTCGTTTTTTGGAAAAAAATTAAACTTCTTCCCGCTGTAAACTCAATTAACTGCCAGTGGTGCAGGAGAGTACTAGCATGGCTATCTGATTTGTTTTGCATTCAACAATGATGTATCGATATTGCCTTATTCGGTAAGACAATGACAAAATGACAGACTGGCACCCAGGCGAGCAGAGTACACTAAGTTTGAGTGAAATATACTGTCCACATACACATAGATCCATAGGTATAATGAAACTGTCAACCACTATTTGGATAAGCTTAACGTAAATAGAATTTTCCACGTCATCATACAGTGGGGAAAAAAAGTATTTAGTCAGCCACCAATTGTGCAAGTTCTCCCACTTAAAAAGATGAGAGAGGCCTGTAATTTTCATCATAGGTACACGTCAACTATGACAACCAAATTGAGAAAAAAAAATCCAGAAAATCACATTGTAGGATTTTTTATGAATTTATTTGCAAATTATGGTGGAAAATAAGTATTTGGTCACCTACAAACAAGCAAGATTTCTAGCTCTCACAGACCTGTAACTTCTTCTTTAAGAGGCTCCTCTGTCCTCCACTCGTTACCTGTATTAATGGCACCTGTTTGAACTTGTTATCAGTATAAAAGACACCTGTTCACAACCTCAAACAGTTACACTCCAAACTCCACTATGGCCAAGACCAAAGAGCTGTCAAAGGACACCAGAAACAAAATTGTAGACCTGCACCAGGCTGGGAAGACTGAATCTGCAATAGGTAAGCAGCTTGGTTTTAAGAAATCAACTGTGGGAGCAATTATTAGGAAATGGAAGACATACAAGACCACTGATAATCTCCCTCGATCTAGGGCTCCACGCAAGATCTCACCCCGTGGGGTCAAAATGATCACAAGAACGGTGAGCAAAAATCCCAGAACCACACGGGGGGACCTAGTGAATGACCTGCAGAGAGCTGGGACCAAAGTAACAAAGCCTACCATCAGTAACACACTACGCCGCCAGGGACTCAAATCCTGCAGTGCAAGACGTGTCCCCCTGCTTAAGCCAGTACATGTCCAGGCCCGTCTGAAGTTTGCTAGAGTGCATTTGGATGATCCAGAAGAGGATTGAGAGAATGTCATATGGTCAGATGAAACCAAAACAGAACTTTCTGGTAAAAACTCAACTCGTCGTGTTTGGAGGACAAAGAATGCTGAGTTGCATCCAAAGAACACCATACCTACTGTGAAGCATGGGGGTGGAAACATCATGCTTTGGGGCTGTTTTTCTGCAAAGGGACCAGGACGACTGATCCGTGTAAAGGAAAGAATGAATGGGGCCATGTATCGTGAGATTTTGAGTGAAAACCTCCCATCAGCAAGGGCATTGAAGATTAAACGTGGCTGGGTCTTTCAGTATGACAATGATCCCAAACACACCGCCCGGGCAACGAAGGAGTGTCTTCGTAAGAAGCATTTCAAGGTCCTGGAGTGGCCTAGCCAGTCTCCAGATCTCAACCCCATAGAAAATCTTTGGAGGGAGTTGAAAGTCTGTGTTGCCCAGCGACAGCCCCAAAACATCACTGCTCTAGAGGAGATCTGCATGGAGGAATGGGCCAAAATACCAGCAACAGTGTGTGAAAACCTTGTGAAGACTTACAGAAAACGTTTGACCTGTGTCATTGCCAACAAAGGGTATATAACAAAGTATTGAGAAACTTTTGTTATTGACCAAATACTTATTTTCCACCATAATTTGCAAATAAATTCATAAAAAATCCTACAATGTGATTTTCTGGATTTTTCTTTCTCATTTTGTCTGTCATAGTTGACGTGTACCTATGATGAAAATTACAGGCCTCTCATCTTTTTAAGTGGGAGAACTTGCACAATTGGTGGCTGACTAAATACTTTTTTCCCCACTGTATGTTTATATGCTTCAACATGGCAGAATTCTCTCTATGATAGGAGAATATGACATACACTGAGACCAATCCCCGGTAGAACATAACGTTCTGAGAACCATATGTTTCTCAGAGCTTGGTGAGAGTGTGGTTGTCCTATGGTCATTTTGCATACAACCTTCCCACAACTTTCTGAGAATGGTGCAAGATAGTTGATTGGCTTTGTAACATTATCAGCATATTTAAGGGACTTGACAAAAAAAAATTTCATTACTTTAACAGAATGTTTCGTAAAAGTTAAAACATGTTTACATTTCATTTCAATTTTGGTAATGTTCTAGGAACGTTCTCCAACTGGTTTGTCATTGGGAATGTTCTCAAATAGTTCAAAGGACGTTAAGAAACAACGTTCTTCTGTGGGAATTTCAGTACTTCAGCATATTGTTTCCTACAGGTTTCCTCATGGTCCTATTTAAAGTAATGTTCTCAAATTGGTCCGAGAATGTTAAGAAAACTTTCCATAAAAACCACAAGAAAACTTTTAACATTCAGAGAACGTTCTAAGAATGTTATTTAAAAACAAATACATTCTGTTCTCATCATCAAGAAAATTCTCTATCCAGGAAAACTTTAAAGGAACCAGAGAAAAACGCTCTCAGAACCTCCCTGCAACTTAAATGTTCCCATAACATATCAAATGTTCACTTCTGTTCTCAGAACGTTTAAAAAACGTTCAATTTTACTGGTCAGGAAATGTATGGCTTCGTTCCCTCAACCAATTTGAAACTAAAAATGTACGTTCCCACAACTTCCAAGGAACCAAATATGCTAGCTGGGATGTGTCACGACTTCCTCCGAGGCTGCCTCCTCTCCTTGTTCGGGCAGGCTTCGGCGTTCGTCGTCACAAGCCTTCTAGCCACTGCCGCTCCTCATCTCATCATTCCATTTGTTTTGTCTTGTTTATTACACACATCTGGTTCATATCTCGTCATCAGTCCCTGTATAAGTGTTCCCTCTGCCCCCTTGTCTTTGTGAGTGATTGTATATTGTGAGATTAGTGAAGCTCGGTGGAGCTCCTTGTATTTTGTATCACCAGGTTATTTTCCCTGTGTGCCTTCTTGGTTTCAGTGCGCCTGTTTTGCGCACTGGACTGTTTTGACGCTTTATTGCGTAACTCTGTAAATCCTGTTATTCTGTGATTTACCCTCCTGCCATATCTCAGACTGGCCAATAAAAAGAAAAGATTAAGATGGGCAGTCTGAGATAATGCTTTTTCTTTGCAACTCTACCTGGAAGCTCAGCGTCCCGGAGTCGCCTCTTCACTGTTGACGTTGAGACTGGTGTTTTGCGGGTACTATTTAATGAAGCTGCCAGTTGAGGACCTGTAAGGCGCCGGTTTCTCAAACTAGACACTAATGTATTTGTCCTCTTGCACAGTTGTGCACCGGGGCCTCCCACTCCTCTTTCTATTCTGGTTAGAGACAGTTTGCGCTGTTCTGTGAAGGGAGTAGTACACAGCGTTGTACGAGATCTTCAGCTTCTTGGCAATTTCTCGCATGGAATAGCCTTAATTTCTCAGAACTAGAATAGACTGGCGCGTTTCAGAAGAAAGTTATTTGTTTCTGGCCATTTTGAGCCTGTAATCGAACCCCCAGTTGTTGATGCTCCAGATACCTAACTAGTCTCAAGAAGGCCAGTTTTATTGCTTCTTTAATCAGCACAACAGTTTTCACCTGTGCTAACATAATTGCAAAAGGGTTTTCTAATGATCAATTAGCCTTTTAAAATGATAAACTTGGATTAGCAGACACAACGTGCCATTGGAACACAGGACTGATGGTTGCTGATAATGGGCCTCTGTACGCCGATGTAGATATTCCATAAAAAATCAGCTGTTTCCAGCTACAATAGCCATTTACAACATTAACAATGTCTACACTGTATTTCTGATCAATTTAATGTTATTTTAAATGGACAAAAAAAAATGATTTTCTTTCGAAAACAAGGACATTTCTAAGTGACTCCAAACTTTGGAACAGTAGTGTACCTACCTACCCGTTATGGAAAATGTGCTTTTTTAGTATTTCTCCAGTAGGTTTCCTCAAGGAGAAAGTCTCCACTTCTATGTCAAAGATAATAAAACAGAAACACTACAGTAATGTCAGCAAAAACACTACAGTAAATTCTACAGTATATTACAGTCTGCAAAAACACTACATAAATTACTATATTATTTTACTTCGGTATTTATACCATAGTTAACTGTAAATACTACAGTATACTACATGGAATACTACAGTATTCACTGTAGTGTTTTTATGGACTTGAGTCAGTAAATACAACAGTAAAGTCTGCAAAAACACTACAGTGAATACTATAGTATTTATTCCATAGTATACTATAGTATGTTTTCATGAGGGTGGGACCAGAAATCAGCCCAGGCATGTCATCCTCAATTTAGACCAGCCCACTATGCTAAAGATGGACAGGCCCACCTGGCATTTGCCCAAACTGCCCTATGTCTCGTCCATTTCTGTCTGGAACCGTAGCAGAGTGGAAGCCAATGTGAATAATAAAATCTAATCAAAATGTATTTGTCACATGCACCTAGGGTGGCTGGAGTCTTTGACAATTTGTAGGCCCTTCCTCTGACACTGCCTGGTATAGAGGTCCTGGATGGCAGGAAGCTTGGCCCCAGTGATGCACTGGGCCGTACACACTACCCTCTGTAGTGCCTTGTGGTCGGAGGCCGAGCAGTTGCCATACCAGGCAGTGATTCTCTCGATGGTGCAGCTGTATAACTTTTTGAGGATCTGAGGACCCATGCCAA